ATCTTCCCTTGTATATAAACATTCTGTTTCAGCTTATTCTGTACCAGAAGATATTTTTCCTCCTTTTCTCCTTCCTTCTTCATCTACTCTTTCCCTCTCTTAATCTCAATATGGTATTAGAGCTTTGAAGCTCATCAATGGCGTGGCCATTGTCTTCCGTCAATACAATCTGGCCACATATGGCTTTCACTTCATTACCACAACCGAACATCGCCGAAGATCCGATTCCATCTTCCGCAACTCCGACGAACACAATGAACGCTGGAAGTGCAGTTAATTTCAATCCTAATGACAACACAAGCCCCTATCACCTTCACGCCAATGAGAGTCCGGCACTGGAGCTTGTATCTTCCATGTTAGATGGTAACAATTATCATGAATGGGCGAGAGCTATGAAGGTGGATTTGTCTTTGAAGAACAAATTCCGTTTCGTAGAAGGATCGATCAAGATGCCAAGCAGAGACGATCCTAAGTTCTTCTACTGGGAACGATGCAATAATATGGTAGTTTCATGGATTGTTCGTGTCCTATCACCGACTATTGCGAGAAGCGTTCTCTGGATTGATACAGCTGAAGGTGTGTGGACAGATTTGAAGAAGAGATTCAGCAAACAGGATGTGTTTAGAATTGCTGAGATCCAGGAAGAAATATATCAAACTAGGCAAGGTAGCAGCAATGTGAACGAATATTTCACTCAACCGAAATTGTTATGGGATGAATTTCTTGTTCTAAGGCCTGTACCTACTTGCATTTGAGCTCAGAAATGCAAATGCAGTGACAGTTTCTTAACAAAGGCTATGTCAAATTTTGAGAATGACAGGTTGTGTGCTTTTCTCACTGGTCTTGATGAGAAATATACAGGAGCAAGAAATCAAATAATGTTGATGAGACCTCTACCAGATGTTGGGGAAGCTTTCGCTATGATTTCACAGCAGGAAAGACAATTTTCTATTGGAGTTTACAACTCTATCAGTCAATTCCCTCACTCAGGAGACACTTTACCAGGAAACAGTGTGTTACTTGCCAAGGGAGACAACAATGACTTGTCCAGAAGACACTATCCTAATAATAAGCCAAAACCTGTGTGCAGTTATTGTGGATTCACAGGACATACCATTGAAAAATGCTACAAAAAACACGGTTACCCTCCGGGATGGAAGCCTAGAGGCAGAAATATTGGCTCAGCTAATCAGGTTCAAACCAATACACAACATCACCAAGTTCAGGTGACAGAGAAGTATGTTTCTGTAAATCAAGATGACTACAAGAAATATCTCGAGTATGTTCAGAAAGAGAAGAACACACCTCTGGATACAGTGTTCACTGGAGCAACACCTCAAGCCAACACTATAGCAGCCAATTTTGTGCCAAATGCACAATTGGAAGGTAATAATCCTACTCTCTCTAATACTATCATAAGTGAGTGCATGTGGATTCTTGATAGCGGTGCTACGCATCACATAGTGTGTGACAGGAGTTTGCTTACTAACTCTAGAAAAGTCAATGGGAAATATGTGGCCTTACCAGATGGGAATAAGGCTGTGATTACACATACTGGTTCTGTACATTTGTCTAATGAACTTGTATTGGAAGGTGTCCTGTGTGTTCCAGTGTTCTACTATAACTTGATCTCTATAGGTGAGCTGATTAGAACTTCAAAATGTCATGTGTTGATGCATTCTAACAAGTGTATCATACAGGATCCACACCTTGGAAAGATGATTGGTATGGCTGAATTAAGAGAAGGCTTGTATCACCTCGTTATGCCTGCATATTCTGTTTTGCCTTGTATTCATGTTGCTAGTATGGTTACTTGTAATGTTTGGCATGCCAGGTTAGGGCATGCCTCTCATGCCAAAATAAAATTTCTGCAAACTCTAGATGTAAATGTTACTGCTGCAAAAAACAATGTTTGTGATTGTTCTCATATGGCTAAGCAGAAAAGATTACCATTTTTTCCTAGCAAATCTTTTACCACTGATTGCTTTAATCTTGTGCATATGGACATTTGGGGGCCATACCATGTCAAGACTCTGTATGGCCACCAATATTTCCTTACCGTTGTGGATGATTTTAGCAGGGCTACATGGGTTTATCTCACGAGAGGTAAGGATGAAGTGAGACAACTTGTGCAAGGTTTTTGTGCTCTAGTACACACTCAGTTTGGGAAGACAGTAAAATGCATTAGAACAGACAATGGGAGAGAATTCTCTATACCTGAATATTACTTACAAAGGGGTATACTGCATCAGACTTCTTGTGTCTATACTCCTCAGCAAAATAGCATAGTTGAGAGGAAACATGGTCACATTCTATCTGTGGCAAGAGCTTTGAAGTTTCAAGCAAAATTACCTGATTGTTTTTGGGGAGATTGCATCCTTCATGCTGTGTATATTATTAATAGACTGCCTTCAGCATCTTTAGACAACAAGATCCCCTACCAACTTCTATTCAATAAACTTCCTCAATATCAACATCTCAAGGTGTTTGGATGTCTTGCCTATGCTGCAATCCATGGTGGGCATAGGACAAAGTTTTCACCAAGAGCAAGAAGATGTGTGTTCCTTGGTTACACAAATGGAACAAAAGGCTATAAACTCTATGATACTCAAACAAAAGAGGTCATTGTTTCAAGGGATGTTGTGTTCTATGAGGATATTTTTCCTTCTCAGATCAGTGAAGACCCTGCAAAGGGACAATACCAATTGATCTTACCTACTGAGCACGCTGCTGGTGTAGGCAGTGAGTCCACAACTATACAACCTAACCAAAACCAGCCAGAATTTGAAATTTTTGACACATCGCTTGAGGTTTCTGATCACCCCTCTTTACATGGTTTGAGAAGATCAAATAGACAGAGAAATGCTCCAGCATACTTGGCAGATTATGAATGCCAAACTAATAGAACTTCTCCTCATAGCTTGTCCACAGTTTTGTCTCATGACAGGTTATCATCTAATTACCAAGCTTTTATCATGAATATTAGTTTCACTAAAGAGCTTAAGACTTATAATGAGGCCATACAACATGATTGTTGGAAGCAAGCCATGGTAGTAGAAATTGAAGCTTTACAGCCAAATAAGACTTGGGAGCTCACTGAATTACCCTCTACAAAATAGACTATTGGTTGTAAGTGGGTATACAAGGTTAAACACAAGGCAGATGGGAGTATTGAGAGGTATAAGGCGAGACTTGTGGCTAAGGGATACACTCAAACAGCTGGCCTAGATTATCTAGATACATTCAGCCCGGTGGCTAAAGTCACAACAATTAGGACTCTCCTGGCTATTGCTGCTGCTAGGGGATGGAGTTTACATCAATTGGATGTCAATAATGCTTTTCTCCATGGGGATCTCAATGAATAAGTATATATGGCCTTACCACCGGGATTTCTTGCACCTAAGCCTGGAATGGTTTGCAGGTTAACTAAGTCCCTTTATGGTCTTAAACAGGCTAGCAGACAATGGAATGCAAAGCTTACTACAGAACTACTTAAGCTTGGGTTCAAACAGACAATTGCAGATTCCTCATTGTTCGTAAGGGGGACAGGTGATACATTCGTTGCTCTTTTGGTGTATGTGGATGATGTGGTGTTGGCTAGTCCGGACAAGTTACAGATTCAGCAAATTAAGGAACACCTCCATGCTATTTTTCGGATCAAATATTTAGGTCCACTCAAGTTTTTTTTAGGCCTTGAGGTTGCAAGAAATAAGGAAGGGATCTCTGTCAACCAAAGAAAATATGCTCTAGATTTATTAGACAATGCAGGTTTTTTACACAGTAAACCACTTCAGTCTCCTATGGTTCCTTCTACAAAATTGAGCAAAGCAAGTGGCACTGTTTTAGCAGATATCACTCAATACAGACGACTGGTAGGAAAGTTACTATACCTCACCATTACAAGGCCGGATATAAGCTTTGCTACACAACAATTATCACAATTTCTAGATTGTCCTACAGATGTACATCTACAAGCTGCACATAGGGTCCTACGGTACATCAAAGGTGCCCCAGCTCAGGGTTTGTTCTTTCCTGCACACAATCAACTTCAAATGAAGGGATTCACTGATTCAGATTGGGCTGCATGCCCAGATACTAGGCGGTCTGTATCTGGTTTCTGTATTTTCTTAGGTTCGGCCTTGGTTTCTTGGAAGTCTAAGAAGTAGGTGACTGTTTCCCGCTCCTCATCAGAAGCTGAATATAGGGCTCTTTGCAGCAGCAGCATGTGAAATACAATGGTTGCATTATTTGCTTGAAGCTTTGGAAGTTGTTGCTGATTCCCCGGCTATCTTGTTTACTGACAGTAAATCAGCTATGGCAATTGCAGAAAACCCCGTCTTCCATGAGCGAACAAAACACATAGAATTGGACTGTCATCTTGTAAAGGAAAAATTGCAGAAAGGTGTCCTGAAGCTACTGCATGTTCTCACAGTCAATCAGCTAGCCGATGTGTTTACCAAGCCGCATGCTCCGGTCACCTTCAATGGTTTCATATCCAAGCTTGGTCTACATGATATGTACTCTCCAGCTTGCGCGGGGGGGGGGGGGGGGGTGGTATCAGAAGATATGCAAGCCAACCTAGCAAGACAGCTCAGCAAAATTAGTTAGGCTAGCAGTTAGGCTTCTGTGAATATCTTCCCTTGTATATAAACATTCTGTTTCAGCTTATTCTGTACCAGAAGATATTTTTCCTCCTTTTCTCCTTCCTTCTTCATCTACTCTTTCCCTCTCTTAATCTCAATAATCGGAACTCCTGGTTAACTTCATTTCTATTATGGATATCATTCAGTTTTCATCCCTACTATGCTACTATTTTTCTCAGCTTTCTCTTTCTCACTTCTATTAAAACAATAAAAAGTAACGGTCTGTAAGGATTTACATATATGTATGCAAGAATAATTTTATCAAATCTTTCATCATATGACATAATAACTTCACATAATATAATTAAGGAGTTTTTTTGCACATTTGGTCCCACGACTATAGTTAAGCCGGGTTATCCGAAGCTTGCTGCCCCTCATGCTCTCTATATTTGTCCCACTAGAGAACTTGCCATTCAGGTGGGTAATGTGTGACTGTTTGCAAGCCTTGTTAGCATTCCAAGATCCAAGCTTTTTGAGATTGACTTGTCATTGACTAATGTTTATATAGCACTGTTTAGTAGATTATTTGCAGCTAATAATTGGAATGAAAATTAACTCACTAATGCTCAGATAGTTTATTACTATGCAGATTACAGTATAAGAAGTTAGCAATTGATTTAGACTTTGATTCAGTTTATGTATACTTGTAGAATATGGAAGTTCTGTTGAAGTATAAACTAGTGGTGAATCAGAGGAGCGTTAGGTCTTGCAAGCGTATTAAGCGAAATGTTTGAAAGTCGTGGATCAATTCTAAAAGTGCCACTATAGTCGTGGGATCAAGAGTGTAAAAAACTCTATAATTAAGATTCCAACGCCTCCACTAAGGCTCAATCTCATGACCTTCCACATGGAAGAGGTCACTACATGTCATCTCATCTGAGCTGTTTTAGTAAACTTTATTATTACAAAAATAATTCAAGCAAAAGAGTTTTTAATTTAGAAGAGATCGTTAAGTAGAATTGAAGCATGTGCTCCCTCTCAACTAAAAGCCTAAGTTGATAGTTGGATTGCTGTTACGTAGTGAAATTTAGTACGCAACGGAAGAAACCTTTCGAGCAGACTTCTAGCTCCAATCCGTATTCGAGTTACGGTAACTCCAAAAGTAAAACAATATAATGAAAGAGAATGAAGAATTCTTCAATATAAAAGACTGGAATAACAATATATTTCTCTGAATGGTTCCCCGTATTCATATACAATGGACCTATTTATACTAAATTACTAACACATATAATAATTAAGTTACTACAATTATTCTAACTATACAATGTAATAATATATTCTAATATACATAATTTCCTTATACTAATATTTAGTCAATTATCCTCTAATTACATATATTCATTCCTTGTAGACCATCCCCTAATTAAACCATCAATTATTTCTTTCCTTTGTTGCGTATCACTCTCCACCCCTTCAAAAAACACCTTGTCCTCAAGGTGTAGAGAGGAATAGAATAAACACATATTTGTTGAAGCAGTCCATGCAACTTTGGATGGGGGCTAGTTGGCAAAACATATTGAAATGGTTCACGAGCTTGATTGTGACAAATAAATGGTCTTCTCCCCTTTTGACTTGCACCGTCTAAAAGTATCTCTTGCTCTCCAATGTTGAGTTCCAAGTCTAAGGTAGTAGGACTCACAAGTCTTGTCTCAAGATAATCCTCAAGAGACTCTAAGTTGTTGAAATTGTGAATGTTGCTTTCATCATGAGTGGTTGGGAGATCTGTTGCTATTGATGATTCTTTGGACTCTAGGCTACTTGGTTCTTCTTGAGAAATTGGATTAGAATAATTAGGAGTGTGGCATTCCAAAGTATCATCTTGGTCCGTCTGTAATTCTCCACACACAGCCATCAACAGCTCCAAATTAGGATATTTAATGTCTAAGATACAACAGTCATCGTAAATATTTTGGCCATGAAGAGCTTGTTTGGCCATGAATGCATCAAAGACAGAAAAACCATACCAAAGCTTGGAAGGCCTAACTTTCATCCTTCAAAATATGAATATATTGTACAGATCCTTTTGTAGAAAAGATCTTATACAATACAAAATCATCAATTGAATACCATACATGGTGTACAGAAACCAATAAGCACCGGTGAGTAATATTTTCCATAAAAAATAATTCTCTACTTTTTTTTTTGTATTTTTTTCTTTTCTCTCGTTTTTTTTTTTTTTTGAGATCTTTTTTTTTTTTTTTTTTTTTTTTTTTGAATTTTCAAAGGGGTGCTATAAAAATTGAGATAAAAACAAAAAATAAAATAAAATAACAAAAGGATAGGAGATACTCTCAATGAAAGCACCAATGTTACGTACTGAAATTTAGTACGCAACGGAAGAAACCTTTCGAGTAGGCTTCTAGCTCCAATCCGTATTCGAGTTACGGTAACTCCAAAAGTAAAACAATATAATGAAAGAGAATGAAGAATTCTTCAATATAAAAGACTGGAATAACAATATATTTCTCTGAATGGTTCCCCGTATTCATATACAATGGACCTATTTATACTAAATTACTAACACATATAATAATTAAGTTACTACTGATGGGGTGAGAACCCCGGCCCGAGAAAAGAGGCCCAGAAAGAATGCATGGGCCGAGTCCAGGACTCGGCCCAGATCCAAAGAGGGAGGCCCAGTTCAGAAACCGGAAGGGCGGCCCAATGCCAAACGGGGACAAGGAGTCGGCCCAGGCCCGATCTAGGAGAGGACTCGGTCCAGAGAGCCGTTGAGGGAGCCTTCAACGCAGTTAAGACAGGGAGCCGTTGAGGCATTAAAGGCCGGGCTCGGTCAGCCAGTTACTAGCCAAAGAGAGCCGTTGGCAGATTCCCTAACGTCGCCCAACAGCTCGGCACATTGAATGTAATCTTTAAGTCGGCCATCATAAGCCTTTAAGTCAGTAGAGGAGGAGCCACTATAAAGAGGACTCCTCCACCCTTGTATGAGGCAGATTTCAAGGGACCCGGAGAGGGAATAGACAAGTACTGTTAAGCATCATATTCTACTAAGACTCAAACCCTTTTGTGAAAGGTGTATCCACCAGCTATAGGTTGTGTTGGACCTCCTTGGGCCCGAAAACCCAAAAACCATCACTGGCACCGTCTGTGGGGATCGAAACGAAGAGTCACGTGTCCACTTGGGTGAGGCGAGTCCGAGAAACAATAGTTGAATCAGGCCAACTCCAGACATGGCTGGAAGCGGGGAACAGTCGAGCCGTCAAGACAACGGACGGGAGGCCGACTTGAGAAACCAGCTGAATAGAAGAAATGCCCGAAGCCATGAAAACGAGACGACACCGCCGCCGACGCCGCTGAGAAACCCACAATTACCTCAAGTGCAGCTCACCCCGGAGCAGTTGCGCGCAATCGGACGCGCCTGCGCGGAAGCGAGCTTAGGAGCGGGAGAACAATCCATCACTCGCCAATTGCAACGCGAGTTGCAACCGCCTCAGAGGCCAGACAATCTGCAATTAAGCCGACGGGCTGAAAGCCAGCCGGTGCAGTCCGTTCATTCCCGGCTAGGACCCAGCGTCGGACGTCGGTCGACAAGAGAGCGATTAGGCCGGAGGGAGCCCAGTCGTGCCCCGTTAGTCGTCCGCGACCGACAAGCTGCACGAGAAAAGAGCCGAACCAAAAGGGCCAGGACTGAGACTCGCCGCGTGGAGCAACCTCCTCGCAACCCTGCCCAACCGGCTGAGTCTGAAGTCGGCGAAAGCACGGAATCCACGGGGAATCGGACCCGGGAAAGGGTCGAAGTGGCCAACCTAGTACAAGAGGTACGAAATCTAAGAGAACGGATGGAGGGAAAGGCCAAATCCCCGGGGCGTACGTTGCTAACCGCCTTGCCCTTCTCGGACGAGGTCATGGCCTTCAAGATACCGGGCGACTTTAAGTTCCCGGAGCAAGCCACATTTGACGGATCAGGCGACCCGCGAGAACACCTGTTGAGTTACCAAGCTAAGATGCAAGTCCTAGGAGTGCAGGATCCGGTCATGTGCCGTGCCTTCTTACCTACGCTGAAGGGGCCCGCCCAAAGATGGCTTGTAAGTCAGCCCTCGGGGTCGATCCACAGCTTCGAAGAACTGGTAGACCGCTTCATGAGCCACTATGCCGCTAACATCAAGCCACAGAAGGATCTGACGCACTTAGGCGACATCCATCAGGATGAAGGCGAGTCCTTGAAAGCCTATCTTGCTCGCTGGCAGAAGGAGATCCAGTCGATAGAAGAGGTGGAGGACCAAACAGCGCTCACCTTCTTCATTGAATCTTTGCGATCCGGACAGCTGTATCGAGATCTAAGGGACAACCGCCCGGTGACATACGCGGAGGCTGTCCAGATGGCCAATAGGAGGGCCAACACAGAGCAGGCCATGAAGCATAAACGGCAGCGCGAGGTCGGTGGGTCCGCCAGTGGAAAAAGGACGCGGGTGGAAACGAGAGAAAGGCGTTCGGATGCCGCCCGGCGACCCGAGGTCAGGCGACCGTATGACCGACCCGTCATTCGCACCTATCGACCGGTTCCAGAGCGACCAGTTCGCGAAGTACAGGCGGTCGCCCCGCCTCCGCCTCCGCCGATGGACGACCGAGCAGCGGACGAGGATACGGGTAAGACTTCTAAATATTGTCGCTATCACAAATCTTATACTCACAGCACAGAAGAATGCTTCTATCTAAAGAAGATTATGGAGGGGATCATCCAGCAAGGGACACCGCCCCCTAACCAATGGAAGCGAAGGTCGACCGGTCGAGGAGGTGAGGGACCCGTCGCCGACTCAGAAAACAGCCGAGGCAAGCAGCCGGCTTCCGAAGAGGACGAAGCCCAATGGCGCCAGAAGCCGGTCATTAACATGATAGTCGGTGGGCCAGAAGGCGGCGATTCCGCGAACACCCGAAAAGCCTGGGCTCGGCAGCTATATGTCGGAACAGTCTATGGTCGAGAAGAGAGCTCCAAAAAGACATGTCGGGAGCCCATCGTGTTCACCGATAAAGACCTGCCAGCTGGGGAAACCCCGCATCGAGACGCGTTGGTCATCGCCATGGACGTCAACGGTGTGGTCGTTCGCCGAATCCTGGTCGACACCGGGAGCAGCGTTAACGTACTGTACCTGGAGACCTTTACCAAGATGGGGCTGACCCGAGAACAGCTCAGGCCCGTGAACACCCCTCTCGCCGGTTTCACCGGGGACTCGGTGGAGGCGGAAGGGTCCATCACTCTTCCTGTGGAAATCGGCAGCTATCCGAACGTGCAGCAGTTGAGCATGAAGTTCATCGTGGTCGATCTAGCCTGCTCACACAACGCCATACTCGGCCGCCCGGGTTTGGAAGACCTCGGGGCTCTGATCTCAATCGAACATTTGTGCCTGAAATTCCGCACGCCGAACGGAATAGGAACGGTGCGTTGTGACCGCAAGGTCGCCCGCGACTGCTATCTGCAGGCATGTAGAGGTATGGGCAAGCGTGGGATGCAGGTCCATGAGATCACCGAGAGGCCCCCTAAGAAAATAGTGATACCACGCCCGGAGCCGGCCGTCGAGCTAGAGGAAGTTGAAGTGGACCCAGCGCAGCCAAGCAGGCGAGTGAG